TAAAGAAAATAATATACCTCTTTTTGAGAGGCACATAAGTTCATAGGGGTTAAGCAACTTGCCAAAGATTATCCAGCTTATAAATAGCAGAGCCAGGGCTTAACCTCAGGTGTTTGAACATCAAATTGTGTGTTCTGGGAAACCATAAATCCTATATTCTGATTCTGCTTCAGAAAGGTTGGCAGATTCTGGTGGAATCTCACTGGAATAGTCTCTCTTTGTATTTAACAGTAATCCCATCACTATTATATTCATAATACGATGTGCCAGGTGCTGTCCTAATTGCTTTGTAAGCATCCATCCTATGGGATAAGTGCTATTATCCCCATTTTACAGCTGAGAAAACTGAGACTGGAAGAAGAGAAGTAACTTGGAGCAGCAGAGGTGAGCCTCAAGCCCCTCCGATTTCCAAGCTCATGCTCTCACTCGGCTACTCGTTGATCTCTGCAGCTGTCTGTCTCCATGTAAGTGAATTCATTCTAAGAACCTGAACCCTAGGCTTCCCCTCTCTGATTGTGACATCCTTATTGTTGCCTTCCCTTCGTAGAAGAATTTTTCATTGCCTACAGGCACAGGGTTTATCTTCTACACCCCCCATTTCTTTGACCCATTGCAGACAGGACTCCTACACTGAGATTTTGCTTGTTTACCAGCTTTTACTGAGGAAGGCATCTGTAATGTCTTTTCCTCCTCTGACTAATGCACTTACATCCAAAAAGGTCCTTCTTCTGCTCTAAGCTTCCACCTGGAAGGAGGCAGTGAGCATAGAGGAGGTGGAGAGCAAAGCAAGTCCCCCGTCCTACAGAGACAAGTGTGCCTGGTGCTGGTGAACAATGAATGAGAGCCCTGTGCCTTGAAGCAAGAGGCCTGGGCTCCAACTTCTACTTTGTAGTTACCTGTGGGATCTTGAGCAAGACCTTTTCTTTCTGTGGGCCTCAGTTTCCCCTTCTCTAGAAAGAGGCAATTGGGTTAGAAGGTTAATGTTTTTTATTTTATAAATACCCAGATATTTGTGCTCTCCTGGTAAGAGGAAGCAAGAAGGAAGGAGGGAACAGGGAGGAAAGATGAGGGTTTCATGAGGCAGTGGCTTCGGGGCAGCACGGGACAGAGGTAGACACAGCTGGGGCTCAGGAGAGGACCTGGGGCAGGGCAACAGACACATTTCCTGTCAAAGCTGCCACAAAGTTAGAAAGGTAACACTTTTTATTTATTTTTTTTTTAAGCAGTCTCCACACCCTGCTTGAAGCCCAATGCAGGGCTCGAACTCACAACCCTGAGATCAAGATCTGGGCAGACATCAAGAGTTGTCCAGCTCAATCGACTGAGCTACCCAGATGCCCTTGGAAAGGTATGGCTCTTAAATTTGATCTCCCGTAACTTTGAATTGCCCACAGTTCCACATACACTGTCAAAATAATGTAAATGCATTTTTAAAAGGCTTTTATGTACTTTTATAACAAAATCACTTAATGGTCTTTCAAAAAGATTCGAAAATACAAATAAGCAAAAGAGCAATGAATCTAGACCTATCATCTTCAAACTTCTTTAACTTTGTACCTCCAGCAATCCGTTTTGAGCACACATTCCCAACTTACTTATAAGTTCTATACATTATAAAACCCAGTACACTGCAAAGTAAGAGCAATAGCATAAAGAATAAGGATTTAATATCCCAAAGCCCAGTGGGTTGCTGGGCATCCATGCCCCTTTTGCAGACCATTGGCCTACACTCGTTAGCATTCAGCTACATGGATGTGGGTTCCAAGGAGGCAGAGGACAGTTGGACGGTCTTCCTCCCGCATTTAGCGCTACTCAGCGTCTGTCAGGATCATCACATGTTTCTTGGCTGAATGAATGAAATGATGAATGGGGTGTGCGGGGTTGGGGAAAGAGTGGAGGCTGGCTCTGAGCCTTCGCTGTGTGGTGATTCGCTGATATTTTCACCGGGACTTGGACTCCTTGGAAGCAAGCTTTGCACTTCACCTGCCAAGCCAGGCCCTTCAGAGCTGGCAAAACTTGTTTCTGCAATGCTGAGGCAGCAGCCAATATTTGCAAAACCACAGGATCACGGAAAGTCAAGACTGAACGTGATAGTAGCCTATCTAGGGAAATGCCCAGAAAAAATCAGCTTGCCCCCAAATTTGATGTGCCCCAAATCTCACGGTTTGTGGTTAGTGGGAAACCTTCATGTTAGACAGTGGGAGCACCTATAGGCATTTAAATAAAAGTGTTTAGAAAAATCCAGTGTGCTTAATGAATTCTCAGCCATTCAAGCCACTGCAAGATGCTGTCATGATGACTCCGTTTTCTGAGAAGGGCCCACCCCCTCCCAAGGATGTAGCTCCAGATGCGGGGTGATGGGTAGATTGCAAGTTTCCATCATGGGCTTTGGGAGCAGTGGGGCTATGGGGTGGGGCTCACTGAACCATGCTGATGAAAACATAGAACACTCACCCTAAACCTCACATCCCTACTGTGTGTAGGGAACGTAGGGTTTATTAGCAAGGAATAAGCACGTAGAGAAGTTTAGCTCACTGCCTGGCACATAGTAGGTTTCAATAAAAATGAATTCTTTTGCCCTCCTTCTGTGCCTTTGTCCTGGCTGCCACCTCCCTCTCCAAAGCCCTTGACCCATCCAAATTTTACCTCCTTGCCTGCCCCTGGAATCTCTGGAGCATGTGTTCCTTCTTCCAAATCCCTCCAGCACTTGCTGTCTGGACTGTGCAATTTAGGACTTAATTACAGCCAGCCTTGCATTGTCTTCTAATTGTTTGTCCCCTTCCCCCCTCCTCCCACTGCCCCCCCCCCATTAGTTGGTAAGCACCCTGGGCCCTGAGGGGGTGGCGTGCAGAAGCCAGGAGGGCTGGGCTCAGTCCTCACAGGGCTCAGTCCAGTTCAGTCCTGAACACATTATTTAGCCTCTCAGCTTCAATTTCTTCAACTGCAACAAGGAGATAATGACACTACCTCACAGGGCTGTTGCTGGGGATAATGGGTGTGAAAGCGTGAAGATGTAAATCATTGTACACATGGAAAAGGCTGTTATTGTCGCCTCTGTTGAATCCACCGGCCCCCCGCCATGCACTTCCCTGCCTGGTGGAGTGTAGATGATAAATACCTGATTGATTGAATACAGAATAGCTTTGTGACAGCTCCTGTCATAGGCTCCAGAGAGCACGGGTTTGAGCCTAATCCTGCAATTACTCCCTTCATTGACAATGCAAAATCTCCTGCATCCTCTAAATCCTGGAGTACCCTCAGCCTTCAGCTGATAAAGCAGGGGCTCGTGCCCCATGGAGAACAGAGCTGCACCCCCAAAACAGCCCCAGGATGGGCCACAGTGCCCTCGAACGGCAGCATGCAGAACGGTGGAAGCTGCTTCTTTTACTAGGGCGGTGGTTGAAGACAGTCTTTCCAGGCACCCTCGCCTGCAGAGGACTCAGCAAGCCCAAAGGAACACTAATCTTTTCTGTTAAAGGTATCACAGCATCAGTGGAAGTATATTGAATATTTCCCTGCCATACTTTATAAATGCGAAAAAGGAGCAACCACCCACAGGCAATGAGAAAGCAGCAATTTCTTTGGGAGGTTTTGATAAGAAGCCAGGCAGTTACTTTCCCCCTTCTATGTTGAAAACTCTGGTTTAGGCTTGCTGGCAAATGCCATGCAAAGCTCATCTTTTGTTAGTCTGCCGAACAATGTTATTGGTTATAATTGGGGCAATTATGGGCTGCTCGAGGAAGCGAAACACAGATGTTTAAGCCCAGGATCAGGGTATTCAAGTCCAAAGCAGCTTGCTTTAAATAGTCCATTTCCCGAATCATCCTGCTTTACTTGAAATTCCCCCAGAACTTGCCCATGTTCAGAGTGAGATGGGGGGGAGGTGTACTGAAGGGAGGGGAAGGAGACACACATGGGGCAGGGGGAGAGAGAGAGAGAGAGAGAGAGAGAGAGAGAGAGAGAGAGGCGCACAAAGGAGACAGAAAGGAGGCTGAGAAAGAGCAAGAGTTTGGATGACTTCTGAACGTTATATTCATCAGGACCCTCAGAGACCTTTTAGTGGGAGAGATGGGCAGGAGGAGAAACATGCAAAGAAAGAGAAGAAACCGCCACGTAATTCAGGGTCTGGGAGTCCAAGGTCATCCCTGCAGAAATCTACTTGGGATTCACACACAGTGGCTGTGTTCAGCACTGTACTGGTCGAGCACGGCGCCCCGGGTCCCACTTCTCCCCACATCATTACTAGCAATTTCTATTCAGTGCATAAGGGAGAAGGGTTCCCTCAGGACAGAAAAACTCAAACCCAAATCAAGTTCAGTGGTATGTTGAAAACCAGCCTGAATACACTACGAGGGAGAGGAAAGAAAGGAAGTCAGCCACAGAGAAAAATCACTCACAAGGATGCCCTGAAAGCCAAGTCCCCTGCCCCAGTGCCTGCTCCTCCCCTAATCCCACTCCTGCATTCACCTTTTCTCAGTAGGGGCCGCATCTGGGGAATCAAAACTTTTTCTCATTTCCAAGTTCAGCTCTTTCTTCTTCTGCGTCTCTTCAGGATAAAAACCTCAGCCCTCCCCTCCTACCCCCCATCTGAGCACTGAAACTAAGACGAACGAAGAAATAATTCCCCAGGAGGCCAGCGGCATCCACCCTGGACAAAGAGAGGGTGAGGAGAGAGCCCTGGGCTCCCAGCTGTTTGTCTTGGGGCTGGGGTTCGCATGCAGTTGCCTACCTGAGAGCTGTCAGTAGCCTGGCTCCTTCGGATGTGAGGCTCGGTTCCGCCGTATCAGCCACACCAGCATATATATATCCTCCCCCCCACCCGCTCAGCCCTCCCCTTCCCTGCCCACCTCGATGACACATACACACGCTGACCCCCTTAATCAAGCGAATAGCAGAACCTACAATCCTCCCTGGCTGCTCCCCGCCCCCTTGGCTCTGTGCTCAGACCTGTGACACCCCAGCCTCCCCCCACCATCCATCCATTCTCAAGCCTGCTTTACCTGGACTCTGTTCAGCCAGGATCCCACAGCTGCCTTCCCTTTGCTTCCAGAGGCGCGGCGAGGGCTGATGGGGAGCTCTGGCAAGTCAGTCAGAAAAAAAGACTCCTGGTGACAGTGACGAGGCAGACCCCAATCCTGGAGTCTCCTTGAACAACCCTTTTGCACGAGGAGTAAAGAGTAGGAAGCGGGCAGAAGGAGGGGGAATCTCACACGAAGCTCCCACCGGCACAGGGAAGCCCAGAGCTGGGCTAAGCCAAGCCCCCTTTACTGCAAATGCCCCACGGGCGGCAACTATGAGGCCACTCCAGGGAGTGGTTCTACCTGCGATGGGTCAAGTCAGGAGGCATTTTGCAGGTGCCCGCAGCCTGGCACAATGTAAAATGCTGAGCCGTTCAACTCAGAGTGAAGTGTCTGAGATTCTGGCTTCTGTCAGAGCAAGTTACTTCTCTTTGAGAACCTCAGGTCCTTCTTCTGTAAAATGGGTATGCTACTGCCCAGGGTGATTGTGAGTAGAAAAACGAGATTCTGTTTCTATTTGGAACATAGGAGACCTTTAATAAATGAGTGCTGCACCCCCTTCGTCCTCTTCACGTTAAATAAGACCAACTGAATCTGACAATTCCCTGTCAACAGCTAGTGTCACAACAGAGTACTTTCAGAGCTGCTGCTGTACCTTAGGGCGTTGCCCCCGAGTGCCTTGGAGTCTCAGAAGCTGTTGGAGATGCCCCCGCCACTCAGTGTGGAGCCTCCTTCCCTTCCCACGGGGAAGGCAGATCATGGTCAGCCCCGGCAGGCCATGTTTAAATCTGCAGCATTCTTGGGGATCCCTCCTTTCTTTGGCCCTAGGCGAATTGCACCATGACTTCCTCCTTGGCTC